AATCCATATTGAAGGCTGTAGTCCTTGACCCTCAGCAGCAAGCGCTTCAGGTCCTCTTCAGTTTCAGCAAGCAGGGTTGTGTCATCTGCATGTCGCAGATTCTTGATGGATTTTCCACCTATCCTGACTCCACATTTCTCCTCATAGAGCCCAGCCTTTCGGATAATCTATTCTGCATACAAGTTGAAAAGTATGGAGACAGAACACATGGCTGGTGTACACCCTTCCAAATTTTGAACCATGCAGTGTTCCCTTGCTCTGTTCTGACGACTGCTTCCTGGTCCAAATATAGGTTTCTCATTAGCATGATCAAGTGTTTTGGGATCCCATTCTTCTCAGAGTCAGCCACAGTTTGTTATGGTCCACACAGTCAAATTCCTCTGGTATTCCCTGCTTTCAGTTAAGATCCATCTAACATTAGCTACAATATCCCTAGTACCACGACCCCTTCTAAACCCAGCCTGGACTTTAAGGCAGTTCTCTACTGATGTGCTGTTCCAGTTGTTTTTGGAAAATCTTCAGTATAATATTGCTTGCATGTGAAATCAATGATATTGTTCTATAGTTTCCACACTCTGTTGGGTCACCCTTCTTTGGGATGGGAGCAAATATAGATCTCTTTCAGTCAGTTGGCCAAGTGGTCGTTCTCCAGATTTCTTGGCACAACTTGGTGAGCACGGCCAGGGAAGCATCTGTTAGTTGAAATATGTCAATTTGTATACCATGTACTCCTGGGCCCTTATTCTTGGCTATTTCCTTCAAATTAGCCTGAACTTCTTCCTTCATTACCATAGGTTCTTGCTCATAAATTGTTTCATGAAATTCTTCTGTGTCTGCCAGTTCCTTTCAATACAGTGAGTCCAAATATTCTTTCCATATTCTTTTAATATCCTGGATCATTTAATATTCTTCCTAAAGCATCCTTGATTATAGCGACTTGAGAGTTGAATTTGTTCTTCAGTTCCTTGAGCTTAAGAAATGCTTAGTGAATTCAGCCCTTTTGATTTTCTGACTGTAACTCCTTGCACATTTCATTATAATATTTTACTTTGTCATCAAGATAGAGATAATTTTTTACACAAGTAAAAATATCCTTTCAACTCCCAATTGAATTAAGTAATTACTAGTCTAGATGAAACTACAGACGTGTAAGCTAATCAAGGTTGACAAATATGACAGTTCCTTAGTGATACTCATATATCTATTTGGTAAAATGTTTAAACATAGATATAATTTTTAAAGAAAGGGTTAATTTTTAAAAGTAGAGATAATTTTTAAAGAATAAGGGAGAATGTGTCAGGGAAATGTCCTGACATGATCTTTGTCTTGATGAATTTACCAGTATTTATACTTTGCAACTTTAGAAAATTGATATTGTCAGTACAAAAGAAAGTGAAATTCTTTGTGTTTCAAATGCTTCCATTATAAGCCACTACAATTATTATTAAACTACATTAAAGGATAAAGATGGAGATGTTCAAATTGATATATAAAATATGGAGAATAAATTTTAATGCTAATTTTATCGAGTGCACCATGTATGTTAATTAAATAAACTGAGTTTACAGTGAGATTAAAATCTTTACTATAACCCATCAAATATAAATGGATTATCTTTCCATCTCTGGCAGATGTAGGACAATTGTAGATCACAGTGTTTTCTAGAAAATTGTACTGTTCTTAGTCTGAAGCAGCTAGTACTGGCATGACAGTACTGAGAAACCGCCAGTGATGTTTGTTTCTACGTTTCCTTTGCCCCTGTAATGTGTACATGTGACATAGTAGATTAAACCTTAAAAATTACTTTTGTCTTGTCATTGACTGATTTTCACCACATGGCTGAGTTGTTGTTAAATGGTCTCAAATTAAGTATGTCTAATAGTGACCATGTGAACAACAGATCTGATCCTTGTCCTGTGCTGTTCCATCATCATCACCTCTGATATATTTGAGGTTATTGCTTAAGTTACTGTGTCAAGTTATCTCAAGATCTTTCTTCATTCCTTTAACCCTCTA